TTCCCTCCCTAGATAGGGATCGGAACAATAGTAATACGAAAAGGGTTTAGGGTTTAGGGTTTAGGGTTTAGGGTTTAGGGTTCAGGGTTCAGGGTTTAGGGTTGAGGGTTTAGGGTTTAAGGTCATGAATATCAGTAGTTATACTACCACTGCTAGAAACCAAAACAATAGTGATAGCGAGAGTCAGAACAATGATTGAAACAAGGCAATACCAAAATTACTGATACCTTTGGTAACAACAACAATCTTCTTGAAGACCATTCTGTAATCCCTATATAATACAGCTCCAATATATCCGTTACACCCGATCATGAGTGTTTAGGCCTAACACAAGATCCGGTTGTCAGATGGGTAGTTCCCTAAATTAGGATCCCTTTTTCGGCCCCCAATAAAGTACGGCACCGTTTTTACAAAGGATCCCGAATGGGACCCTGACTTAGAGAGCTCACTACCCACATAGAAGGGATCTCTTTCCCAAGAAGGCTTGTGCACACCTCGCCACCCAGCCCCTACCTCGAGAAGCAATGTGGGATTCCTTTCAGGGTTTGGGTTTAGGTTAGGTACTGCCCCCACTCAGTAACAGTTGGATAATATTTATATTATGGATATATTAGGCCCTTAATAGTAGCCCTATTATAGACTGTTACTGTATGGGGGCAGTACCCAAGGTTTAGGGTTTAGGGTTTAGGTTTTGTAACTTTGTCACACTTTGTAATGGGTTCCAGCATTGGATCAGGTAGCCCCGAAGCAGTACACCATCCAACCCTAGGCCGCAGTCCTGCAACCGCTATCCAAAAACCGACGAGCCAAACAGCAACAGAGTCTAGTTTAAGCCTCATCGATCCTAAGAGCCCTGCAAGCCTGAACCATCCTCAATCCTCCATCCCAAACTCTCAAAACCTCTGAACTCTGAACTTAGACTCACACCCTATCAGCTCTATAAGGTCCATAAGCCCAATCCCCGCAACAGCGAGGGAAGGTCTCTAAACGCCAGGGCCAGACGCTTCCCTGAACTCTTGCTCAGGAGCCCGATTGAATGTGCCCTTCAAAAAGTAACTTAGTAGTGGAGTAGGTATCCTTTAACCTTTTTTGGGTACTACATCCCGTATATAGTCCCAAAGGTTAACTGTTTGTTCCCTTAAGTACTGGACAAGTAGCTGAAGGTACCATCTAACAAGTAATGGGGTGGCGGCTGCCATAGACGGGATGTGTAGTAGCTTAAATGCGTCCGCCTAAACCCTAAACCCCTAAACCCTTAAACCCTAAACCCTAAACCCCTAAACCCTAAACCCCTAAACCGCCCTAAACCCTTAAACAATGGTCCTATGGTAGCTGAAACCTGGCTCCTGAGCACGAACCCAGTTTCAGGGGCTGCCTCGGCTTTCTCTTCGGAAGCCGAAGCGCTTGAACAATATCGGCGTGCCAGAAGATCTGATGGGTTGAGGCTTTGGGACTCAGAGCTGTATATAACATATATACCTATGTGTGTATATATATATATATATAGAAGACTCATATATATATATATATATTTATATATATATATATGTATATATATATATATATGTATATACGCTGTATGCATGTGTGTATATATATATACACAGATAGATGTCTCAAACCTTAAACTAGAGGGGGGGGGCTTGATCAGGGGTCCTGACAATAAGGATCCTACCACATAAGGTCTTTTTTGGGGTGCCCGGTTCGCTGAACCTGCTATAAGCTTAAGGGTGTGGGGAATCTAGCAAAAAAAAACGTAGGTTCAGGAAGTTGTTTTCTTTTGAGGTGCCCGGAGTGGCTTGCCCTAGATAGCAAATCGAGCTGCAAGCCGTCAACTGAAATCCAGAAGTCTCGTAGCCACGGTTTAGGGTTTAGGGTTTAGGGTTTAGTCTTGTGGCCTGAAGTCACTGCTTGGAGGCTCCCGTGTGGAGTTGTGGCTGGACGGTTTGGGTGGTTTTTCAAACCTAGCTCGAGACCTCGAAGCCCACCGTAACACGCTAAATCGAAGAGATCGTGAACACAAAGCCTACATGGACCAAGTGCCTACCTTGAACCCTATCAGACGACGGCCAGAACCTCCACAACTTCCCATGTACAAATGTAGGCTCCATGATCGACCTTTCTGAAGCCCCAACCATAATACCACTACAGCCCTCAACCAACGCTGTAAAGTCCTTCAACAATGGACCCTCTACAAACCCCAAATCCATCCGCACCCTGAGAGCCCAAATTCCGAACATCGGCATATTGGGACCACTTGCTTAGTGGCGGAGTAGGTAACCTTTAACTTTCGGGGGTTAATTACCATACTCCCTAAACAATCCCAAAGCTTAAGCTTCAATGAACCTAGGATCCCTAAACCCTAAACCCTAAACCCTCAACCCTAAACCCTAAACCCTAAACCCTGGACCAGGAGGCTCAAATTCAACACCGGCGCTACCACTACCACCAGTACATCGACGCCTTTGTGGTGAACATTCCGAGCTAAAACCCTAAACTCTATAAGCCCAAAGCCCTAAAGCCCTAAACTCGATAGACCCTAAACTCTTAACCCCTAAACCCTATAAGCCCTAAACCCTTAAGCTCTAAACCCTACCTACGGGCCAAGGAACCGCAAGAAGGTGGCTGAAACGCCGTATTCCATCGCCACGGCCCGAGCAATTTACCCCGTTTCGGCTTTTTGGATTTTTAGGCTTTGGGGCTTAGTGTTTGGGGCTTAGGGTTTGGAGCTTAGGGTTTAGGGTTTGGGGCTTCTGGGGATTGGGGCTTCTGGGGCTTGGGGTTGGGGGGTTAGGGCTGTAAGGGTTAAAGGGTTCGGGTTTCACGAAGAGAACCCAATAGTTTCTAAAGAAGAGTTTCTAAAGAAGTGGTGTGCATTACATCACAGCGGAATCCTAACGGTGCTTCAAGCTGCATTGCTTATCATGCTCGGATGGGATGTGCGGAATTTGCCGCATTGATGGAAGCCCAGTCCTACACAACCCGACATCCTCGAGCCTTTTGTCGTGAGTTCAACTGTGGGAAGCTTCAACTTAGAACTCACCTGTATAGATCTCCTCTGGAACCTATTCGTAGCTGTTGTCCACAGACGAAAGACCGTAACCCGGATCACCTTGTTGCTACTACCATAATCATCACGTCGCCATCATCCTCATCGTCATCATCATCATCACCCTGAACCCCAAGCCTTGAACTGTAAATCCAGAGTTTTGCCACAAACCCTGGACCCAGGACTACTCCTCTGAGTTCCAAAGCAGGGGTTTAGATGACGGAGCGTGCCAGCCCCAGTCCACTTGGAAAAGGCTCAGGATTCAGGGTTTGTGATGAGTACGCGAGAGAGAGAGAGAGAGGTTTGTGTTGAAACTACCAGTGTCGGGTGGTTGGGGGTTGTTCTGCATTACGGTTTTATTCAGTGTGTGACCTAGCCAAGAAGGGGGCACCAGTCGACGTCGTTTTTTTTTTAAAGTGGCTTGCGTTGGGTACCTGGGCTTCCGAGGCTCAAGGCATCAGTTTTCAGCTTTTGGCAACGGATTGAAAATAGGGTTCAGGGTTTGGGGATTCAAGATACCATATCAGGGTTTAGGGATTGAAAAGATACGGCTTGGGGATTAGGGATTGATCATACGGCTTAGGGCTATGGGGTTTAGGGTTTAAACCCTAAACCCTAAACCCTAAACCCTATTTAAGAGAGGGGGGGTTGTGGGAGTCCCGGGCTCTTGGTTTGTTCTCTGATGCCCGTCAGCCCTGGGCAACGGGGTATTGCAGCAAAGTGGCAGTTGCCCTTTCCGAATTTACGATAGATGCCTAAATCAAGTCAATACCAATGCTGTTTTGGTGGTAATATCTCCAAAACCCCTAGTCTCATTATGAAGGCCCCTACAGTAGTCTTTCAGGAGTCTCCGAACATCGGCACACAAGTGGGCAAGAGCAAGTGGCCTGATAACTCTATGTGTGACTAAGGCTCAATTCTTTGAGGAGTGAGATTCTCTAGAATTTGGGGTTTAGGGTAGACCAAGGCTCAATTCCCTGACGAGTGAGATTCTCTACATGTCCACGGACCTTGACCAGGAGTTGCAGGACTCGGACGGATGGCCCTAAACCCTAAACCCTAAACCCTAAACCCTAAACCGTTGCTGTTGCTGCCTCGCTCGCTGCTTTGCTTCCCCTGGCGCTTCGTGGTGCCGCCTCTGCCTCTAGTCCCATCATTATCAGAGCTAGGCTCTTGTTAAGACGCTTAGTTGCAGTTACCGCAATAGGGAGAGATATGAATATCTGCCGACCGTGCAGTTTTACTTGATATGGCTGGGCGAACTTGCTTGTCTTTCGGACATGAACCGTTGATGGGCTACCTTGCTTTTTGATTGTAGGGTCCTAACTTATATCCCACCGTTTGCAGTAGGTCCTCCGAAGAAAGGTGCTGCAATCCAGGGTCTGGGGGTGTTGTGCTTCTTGAGCTTGTGGTCTTGCGTATGGCAATGCAGGCGTTGAAGGCCCAAAGGCCGACCGTGGTTGTGTTCGATCTCCAGGTTTTGAGCCCTAAACCCTAAACCCTAAACCCTAAACAGAACTAGGAGCTCGCGCAGTCACGGTCGATGTTTCTCGGGACAGCTCTCCACGTCATGAGAGGTAAGGCCAGCACTCTGAGACTTCTAAACTCTAAACACTCTAAACCCTATAAACCTCAGTCAGACCAGAAATCAACTAACGCTTGATCCTTCAGCTGGAGATGTCCTGTGACGAAAGCTCTTGGTTACAAGGCAGCAGTCCTTGAAAGCACTTCTGAAACTTGAGATATGGCTCGAGCATAGGACCTAAACTGGACCGGTGCTACTTCGACTCCACTTCAACATTCCGCGACGCCATTGACCCGAAATTTTAGGGGTACAAGACCGCCAGCCGAACGCAGCACGCAGGGGGCGAGCCTTATGTAAGAGCAGGGTTTGAGGTGTAGGTTTTTCAAGACCGCTGCGGTTCAACCAGCAGCCCGAAACAAGCGCGGCATGGCCCGCCTACGCCGGCCGGAGTCGTTCGAGGATGTGCGAGCAGAGGGCCTGTTCCGAACCACCACGGTGCCACAGATCCTGGCAGAGCGCGGGGCCATCTTCATACAAGGTATACCAGGTCTGCTTGGATCCGGTGGCTTCCGCCCGGAAAAGATTCCGACCAAGCAGGAGGTGCTGGAAGCCGGATCGCGAATCTTCGCTGCGACTTCCAGTGCTGAGTATGTAGATGTCTTCCTGAGCCATCGCTGGGGCTCCACACGCTGGGCGAAGTACCTGGCATTGTGCCTATACCTAAATTTGACGGCAGCTGCGGTATGCTCTGTGGCCTCGTGGGTGCTGGCCACTGGAACCATGATCATCTGGGCACATGGTGTAGCCAACCTTGGAGGGAATTTGCTCTTGCTGCCCATTGTAGTTTACCTTCCCGTTGCAGTGTTTCTGCTTGTCTTTTTCTTTGGCCAGCACGTCGTGCATCGCTTTCGGCCGATGTCGATTTGGCTGGACCGGGCATGCATTCACCAGACAGACCACGAGTTCAAGCGGCGTCAGATCCAAGCCCTGCCGGTCTTCGTCGCACGGTCTTCCTCGATGCTCGTGTTGTGGGACGACGAATACTTCCAAAGGCTCTGGTGCCAACTGGTACCCAGCTTCCCCAGCAGTCCCTGTTTTAGGCTTCTAGCTGGGGGCTTGCTTTTAAAACTGCGTTCTAGCCATGATCGTCCTTGAAAGTCCTAGCAGTAGGGTAGGTACCCTTTAACCTTTTTGGGGNNTATAACCCCTATATAACCCCAAAGGTTAACCTTTAGTTCCCCATGATACCCGACAAGTAAGAAGTTGGGAACTAAGGAATTAGCCACCTTTGCAAGGCACGGTGGTGCACAACAGGTGCAGTTCTTACCACTGGAGTTGTCACCCTGGCTGATCTCCGACCTCTTGTTGAACCTCTTGGTCACTACAGGTTTCAACCTTCTGGTCAACTTGGTCCCTCCGTCTATCTTCACCTCCTCTAAGAGCTTGTCGGATTCCGCCTTCGGTCCGCTGGTCACAGTGGCAGTCATCATAGTGCTCGTGGGCACACTTTTGGGCATCGCAGCGGCCATCCCATGGACCATTGCCTGCAGAGCCAAGTTGCGAAGCCACACGTTGATGTTGGAACAGATGGCTTGCTTCGACTGCCGGGCTGCAGAGTGTGCCGTGGAGTCTGACAGGCTCCTCGTGGAGCAACAAGTCCAACACTTCTTCAGAACAGACAGGTACGAAAAAGAGGTTGTGCTTCAGCTGTCGTCATCCACTCGAACTGACGAATACCCTCAGACAGCGAACCTCTCCGAGGTACGGCCGTGGCGGTCATCCTCTGAAAGCGAGGACACCGAGATGTCATCGACGGTGTTCGACAGCGCAGCCTATTTTCAGACTGACGAAAGAGCACTGGACGCATTTAATAGCTATATTCGAGGACCGCTTCGCTCTGCAGTCATGGAGAGTGTGGGAGACCCGCTACATGTGCCTTACAGTATGTGTTTGGTGGCCTCTCTGCCCATGATCTTTTACTCCGCGACTGATATTCTCCAATGCGATGCTGAGTGCGTATCCGACAACGGGTTAGAATCCTTTTGGAACTACGTCCCGCGGCCATGCTTAGCTGGCTGACAATTAGTTTGCTTATCTTGCCAACCTTTTACCCCGTTTTTCTTCGGATGCTGAATCGGACCTTCTCCGTGCACTCAGAGCTGCTACAGCTCATGCTGGCAGCGCTCAGCGGCTTCTTGACTTTTGGCTACGGCTACTTCTGCTGTGGATTGGTATTTGGACTTGTCGATGTAAGCTTCCAACAAGGGCTACTTGGGCTGGTACCCCTCACTCTCCTTCTCCTGGTCCTCGTACTGCAGTTGCGATGTCTCTTCGGCACCGATCGTCACACAGTCGCAGGTCGAAGACCCGAGTTTGATGGCACTTACAGGGCTTTGCATGCGGCAGACGACATCAGCATTTAGTGCTCGTGTGGGATTTGTGCTGCAGGCAGCAGGATTATGGGCATGAGCTGGTTTCTTCATGCACTGGGTCTCGGAAAGTTAGATATATCGATATACCTAATATACCTTTTGTGGGGGGGGGTGCTTCTAATAAGTGCCCTCTGCTCATTCTTGTTCTGGGCGATTGAAAGTCAAAGTTTTCAGCTTCGAAGTGCTGGACTAGCAAAGTCAGCTTTTGATAGCAGCCATGCGGGGACGGCCAGCCCTATGTCACTTCCAAACACGGAGCTTTTGGGGCTGAACAGATTCACGGTGAACCCGGTGTATAGGGTTTACGGATTAGGATTTAGCTTTTTTGGGCTGTAGGAAGAGGCTCGGGAGCCAGGGTTTAGGGTTTAGGGTTTAGGGGAATTTTCATCAGTCCCAACGCAGCAGATTTTTCTTCAGACTGTACGTCCCTGCCACAAGTAAGTTTCACACACCCTTGCCATTTGACCCTGCGCGCCTGAAATAATATAGGGGCCGAAAGAGTTCCCAAGACTATTTCGGGGTATGAGTAGGGCACATTTGACATTAAACCCGAAAGCCCTACTCCAAATATGGCCCCTATATCAGGCCGATGTAGGGGAATTTCAAACCTGCGGCCTCCGCTCACAGTTCACCGGAAGATTCACCTACCTGTGCGGTCTTCTGTCAGGCAGGTAAAAGTTCTCATAATACGTAAAAATGGCAGGGAAAGCTGGTTACTAGAAACAGCTTGTTGTTCGCGGTTTCATAAAGTACTAGTAAAGGTCCCGTTAACCATCGCAGCGTCGTCAGAGCATCAGAGGTTCATGTAGCAACAAGTAAACGGCTCTGAGGTTGTGAACCCTCCCCTTTACACCCTACCTATAGTCTCTACTGTAGTTCCTGTTTTGGGTGTAACCAGTTTTATACTAAGGATTTTATAAGGTATCCCCTAAACCCTAAAACCGTAAACCCTAAACCCGGAACCCTAAACCCTAGACCCTAAACCCTAAACCCGAAACCCTTAGCCCTAAAAAGGAACTACAAGGGAGACTATAGGTAGCCCTAAACCCTAGGCTCTCCTTCCACCCCAAACCGTTTAGGGTCCAGGATATGAGACCCTAAACCCTAGACCCATTGTAGTTCCTTTGTTTGGTTTAACCAAGAATATGTATATATATATATATATATAGAATATATTAAGGTAGCCCTTAAAACCTTCGTCTTTACACCCTGATGCTCTCCAGAACTGTACCACTGTACCCGTAGGTGGCCGCAGGTACCACTTGAAGGAGCAGCCTTGCAAGGGACGGCCAGCATCTTGTTTCAACCGCAGAACCTAGCCACAAGGATGGAACTTGCCTTTGCAAGACAAGGCCAAGCTGTCAGAGACGGTGCATGTCCGCCCCGTCGCAGCTGCAAGATGTCCTTCAGAATGCTTCTCCTTTGCTCGACCAGAGTGCCGCGTAAGTTGTCATGTGCAACAGCCCTAAGGCTCTTTGAACTTTACATCGTTGAAGGCTTTGGGTTCCGAGGAAACCCTAAACCCTAAACCCCAAACCCCAAACCCTAAACCCTAAACCCCAAACCCTCAACCGCCAACTTCGTGGGTCTGTTTTGGAGCCTTAGGGGAAGTCACTGAGCGATCGCCAGCTCGCCCTGGCAGCGGGAGGAGAGCGTCGGGGTATAGAGCCTTGAAGACTGCAGAAATACTTGTGATACTTGTTATCATACTTTATCATAGTTATTATCATAATTCTGAAAACTTTTTTTTCCATGTGATATGTTGTTTTCTATGTTTTCTGAGTGTTCCCTGATACAGTTTTCCGAGAGCATTCACTGAAAGTTCCTCAAATACCAAGGCCCTTATAACAGTGGTTTCGTGGTTTCGATTATAAGGACATACTGGGGTCATGAGGTCGTAAGGCAATTTATGGGCCTGAGTCAGTTGGTAGTATCGCTGCCTCATGGCCACTAGGTGGTCGTACGACTACAAGTAGCTATCCTTCCGAGTATACTACAAAACCATCTTCGAATTGTGAGGACCCACATATTTGGTTGGGTCTCTCCTTCCTTAGCTGCATTCGGCGAAGCTTGCGATTCCGCGCGCTTCTGGCCAAAAGACGGATTGCGCAGTATCAAAAATGTCCGGTAGTTGAATAAGTACATAAAACAAGTCCAAAAATAAACACACACACACACATGTACATATATATATATATATATATATTTATATATTTATATATATAACACATATTTATATATGTATATATATATATATACAATCTTTTGTATAGAGCCCTTAGTATTGGCTTTATCATCGACTCTTAACTCGGGTCTTTCAGTTTGACGATCCCACATCCGATTCAGGTTTCAGGGGTTTAGGGTTCAGGGTTTAGGGTTTAGGGTTTAGGGTTTAGGTTTAGGTCTAGGGTTTAGGGTTCAGGGTTTAGGGTTCAGGCCCCAATGTGAGCCTTGATCCGGACTAGCACGCCGAAGCCTCGAACTGGAGGCTCGAAGCCTCAAGCCTCACAGGCCCTGGGGGTTTATAGGGGTTCAGGGTTTAGGGTTTAGGGTTTAGGGTTTAGGGTAGGCCCTGGGGGTTTATAGGGGTTTTGGGGTTTAGAGCCCAGATATAGGCCCCAAAAAAGTTTAAGGTTTTAGAGCTCAGTTTTCGAAGGATCCGAAGTACTTAGATGGTAGTAAAGTAGGGGGACAATATTAGGTTTCACTACGATGAGTTGGGAAGGTAACCCCCCTAATCCGTAAACCCTGAACCCTAAACCCTAAACCCTAAACCCCAAACCCTAAACCCTAAACCCCAAACCCTGAACCCTAAACCCTAAACCCCATAATGGTACCTAACCTAGGATTTCTATAACAGCAAGCGCCCTGGGGCCGAAAACCCGAACAGGAGCCCCCAAAGGTCTCGCTTGAACGCTACCCTCTGCAACCCAGGGCCTAAAGGTTTAAGGGCTTATAGGGTTTAGGGCTTTCAAGGGTTTAGGGCTTAGGCTTAAGGGTTAAGGGCTTATGGGGCTTATAGGGCTTATAGAGCTTATAGGGCTTATAGGGCTTCTAGGGTTTAGGGCCCTTACAAAGCACTGAGAATTGACAAAGCCTCCACGAAACTCGTCAGAGCCCGACAACAAAGGAGCCGCCCTCCCTGTCGGAGTCACTGCAGTTCAACATCCCTGCGTGAGCTGTTTGGGCACGTTAGACACGCAGATTTTTGAGGGTGGAGGGTTGAGGGTTTAGGTTTTTGGGTTTAGCCCCTGCTCAAAAAATGGGTGTAGGGTTAGTTCGGAGTCACCTGTGGGGTTTGAGGCTTTCAGGGCTTGGGGTCTTTAAGGTCCTATGTAGGGCCTTCGGGCTTAACCACGGTTCATTTCTCTAGCGCTAGGGCGGCAGGGCATTGATTTGGCGATGCTGCGGGGAGTTCCGCACTCGAAGATTCAGGCTGAGCGCTACGCGGATGCAGTCTCAGCATAAACGCCCAAGCCTACAGCAATTGCATTACATCCTGAAGCTATGCCGTTCTAGTCAAATGTGCCCAGAACTTTGCCATTTGGCGCAAGCAAGCTGCCCCGTGCACGGCGGGCCAGCGAGGTCTCGCAAGACGTCTGTCTCTACTTGGGGCAACCACTGTCATTCCGCATTCGTTTTGCATCCGGTTGTTCGCATGGTGTCTGTGTATAAGTATAGATATAAATATACATATAGTTATTTATATTATAAATAAATCTACGTGATGATAACAGTATGAAGAAAAATCAGAATAACAATACTATGAATAGGAATAGAAAAATACGACTACTAAAGCAAGAAGACACATACTAATACTGAAAAATAACAGTAGTACTACTAATATCGAATGGTAATATAACCACAAAGGAAAATATAATAATACGAAACCAATAGCAGCAATGTAAGGTAGCAGAATATAACATGACATGGCATACTACAAGATAATGCAATTTCGTAGCATTCTTTAACATAATACAACATAGCATATACTATATCATATGGTCAACATCCTCATTAACATCTTATCTGCCTGGACACTAATCGCCCCGTGGGGCCCGAAACCCATAGACCCTACAAGACCCAGTTTCGCTGAGTCGCCTTAAGCTTGATCAAGCCGGGTCCGGAAGATGGGGCTTCCAACTCCTCACGGATGCAGCAACCAGACCATCTAGACCCTAAGCCTAGCTTCTAAAGCACCACAGGCACCCCAGCCTTGGATCGTTAAAGCGAAACCCTCCCTAAAGCCTGAACTTTTAAACCCTAAACCCCTAAACCTAAACCCTGAACCTTCCTTTGGCCCTAAACCCTCAAGGGGGCTGATGGGTTCTCGTTTGGGCGGTTCCTCTGTAAAAGACCTTGGCTTCTGGCCTCCATCATTTTCGTGACCGTTGGGCCGTGCTAGGTTTTCGGAGGGAATTCTTTCAGGTGTAAGGTGTATTTGTTAGCACAACAGCACCCCAATGTGACAGATGCCAATCCCAATCCCATTTCTTTCGCAGAGCTCTTTTTCGAGATTGAGGGCATCTGCGCCTGTGAACATATGACGGTCCAGAGGCATGTCGTCGCCGGTCATCAAAGCAGTTGACGGTTCATAGTCGTGCACCGACTCGCTACCAACATCCAGAAGTTTGCGTCGTATTTGTT